CGCCTCTGGAAGATTACCCATTATTGTAGTCGGAATACTGGGATTGAATCGAAAGCACACAATGCATTCTCTTACAATGCGCTTGGCAAGATTTCTACCTGCGACTGGCCAGAAAGTTTTCCTGATATGGGAGAGAAGTAATTGTGGGCCGCAATGCAGAAGGACTTTGTGTTCGTACCTAAATAACAAGTAGGTAAAATGATGTTTTGAACATAAAAGTGCTGGGTGCCTTTTATGAAATGGGTAGAATGAATGTTTAAGTCTACCTCCTACACGAATTAGACCATCGTCAAGAAAAGGGGTCAAACTAAGAAGTCTGCTTTTTGAGGAAACCTGATTTGACTTTGAAAGTTCATGTATTTCCCTTGAAAAGCTTTCGTGTTGAGAAAACTTGGTTAAACCTTCCCTTGCATGACGGAGTTCGAAGATTGTTAAAGGTTTGTGATGTCCCTTGGAAGACTTTATTTTGCATAATTTTAAGATTGATGAAACGTCCTGACACAAACGTACTGCGTCTTCGAAACTGTCAGCTCCAGATAGCAGATCATCGATGTAGAAATCCTTACTGATGACTCGAGATGCATGAGGATTCAATGATTCGTATTCGATAGCTAACTGTTTTAAGCAGCGTGTGGCTAGAAAAGGAGCACTTGCCGTGCCATAAGTCACAGTATTAAGAAAGAAAGTTTGAAGTTCATCCATGGGATCTGCTCTCCATAGAATAAGCTGCAAAGGATGATACTCTTCTTGGACTAATATTTGTCGGTACATTTTACAGATGTCTGCAGAAATGACATACTGGTGTTGCCGAAATCTTAGCATGATGGAAACCAGATCATCTTGTACCACAGGCCCAACCATCTGGATAGAATTGTAGGATACACCTGATGAAGAGGGAGCTGAGCTGTTAAAGACTACTCTAAGTTTCGTAGTAGAGCTATTCTCCTTTAGAACGCCATGGTGTGATGAATAGTATGTAGGTTTGGAATTGGATGAATCAAAAATTGACATGGGACCTACATCGTGGTATTCGGTCATAAAATCTGTGTACATGGCCTTTAATTTGTGATTTTTCGAAAGTTTGCGTTCCAGCTGCAAGAATTGGTTTGTCGCCTGTAACTTGGAATCCCCTAAAACTTCTGATGATTTCTTAAGTGGAATGGCTACAGTGAATCTACCATTTGAACCGCGCTTAAAATTATCAGAGAAGTGTTTTTCGGCTTGAAATTCCTCATCCGACAGGATCAGCTCACTTGACAACTCTTCGATTTCCCAAAACTTGGCTAACTGTTTTTGAACATCTAAAGTGGAGAGATGACAGAAAGAATGATTTGGGGTGGAAATGCCTAACGGACCAGAAATGAACCATCCTAATCTACTGTTATGTAGAATAGGCTTGTGTGACCCGAGAGATATCTTTTCATTATCAAGTAAATATATAAATATAGAAAATGGTAAAATTTGTTTAAAAAATATTTTAATTGAAAATTCTTGGGCAGTTTTTTTAATTTACGAAGCAATCGCTCGTTTTCGTACATAGCAACCATAGACATATACATATGGAATTTTTTAAATTTTTTTACTGCCAGAAATTGATTTATGTTCAATAATAAAATTAGGTGATTTTATAATGGTTCAAAATATGAAAAGAAACCATCAAATACAAAATGTGTTGAGCTGTCTTCAAAGTTTATCGAAAAATATTAATTTAATGCAAGAGAAAGTACCTTTATTTTTGAAGTTTTTTAGAATTGATTTTAAGGAAAGTTGATTATTATTGAAAATTATTGTTGGATTGCAATTTTATTCATCTGTCATAACCTTCTCCGTATTAGCATTGATAATCTATGTCTCTGTTTCTCAATATGAGGGAGTTATAAATCATTATTGAAATGTAAAATTTAGTGTACCTAGTGTATAGTCTGTCTGAATCTTCATCGTGTTGCCTTTCGAAGGACCCTTCCCGATAAAACTTTAATGATGTTATTACCTATTGTTACTGGGTAAAGCTAATAACAAAAAAAATATTCTTACTTAAGTGACAGGGTGGGCCAGGTATATTTCTTTGTTTCTGATATATTTTTCGAGTGTTGACAATTTGTTGCAGTGTTGAATAATCGTTTTTACTGCGCGTTTTGAAAAAGTTATTTTACGATACATATTATATAACGATTTCGCGTCGACATCATTTGTCGCTTGATGCAAAACGGGTTGTGAAAAATATTGTATCAAATTTCAATCCCTAGAGCACTTATTCAACAAGAAGCTTTAACAGGAACCTGTCTACTTACAAAAACGCCAACATCGTCGATAAGGAAGGGATATTAATAGTGAAGTGAAGAAAAGGAATAAACGTAATGTAAGGCAATAGTGATCAGGACCAAATAGGAAGGAAAATATATTGTCTTTATCAAAGCGAAGTTGTTCCTACCTCGGATGAACTCAAAATGAAGCTAAAAGAATTTGAAACCAATATAAATATAAGCCGTGCCATCCTCCAATGAGTTATTTGCAAAATGGGATTTAAGTACCGCAAAATAGACAAAAAGCAAGTAGTAATGGAATCGCACAGATTATGCACTTGGAGATCTAATTATCTTCAATCAATTATAAGATATAGATTAGACCACTGATCCATAATTTACCTTTATGAAACGTGGTTCGATACACAAAACTGTCAGACGAAAGCACCTTCAAATAAAGGAAAACGCATCACTGTAATACACGCTGGGTCAGGAAACGGATTTGTCCTAAACTGCTTGCTGTTGTCTGCAACGAATATTAAGGATTGTAGCTGAGATTATCATTATTATCATTATCAAAATAATCTTTTAAAAAATATTTCCAATAAAGTGCTATTGCATATGCAATTAATGTGATTTCTGCGATAATTTGGCAAAACACGCTAGGTGTACTGTTTTACGTCTTCCATATCATTGCATATTTAACCCTAGAGCATTTGTGGAACTAAGTAAAATCAAAGGTCCGAGCAGAAAATGTTTAAGTCCCATTGTTATAAACTTGATAAAAAATGTAATTAATAACATACCAATTGACAGCTGGAAAAATTCAGTTCAGCACATTATAAAGATTGAGGAATTGAGGAAACAGAATTAGATTTAGACATTTAGAATAATAATATAATTATGTATAGGTATTCCCAGCTATGAATTTATTGTAGATATTTATTGTTATTGTTTTTTCTTACTGTAATTTAATAAGATTATACCCAGCTAAATAAACACAAAAAAATGATATTATTACCAAAACCTTTGAGAGCCCGCCCCTAATGTTCTGTCCTTTAATACCTACCGGACGCGAGTTCTATTGCCGTCATCAGGTAACTGCCATAATTGAGGGCAAAAGCCAGCACGATGAAGATTGAGACAGACTATACTTATGATGATTGTCAAGGGTTCCGAGAGTGGCAGGTAGTTGCCCTATCTGAACCTTATTGTTAGAGCTATTGTTTCTTTCCAGCAGTTGTTGGCACAGTTCGTTCTTGAAAATGACAGATTTTTTCGTGGGAAACGGATTCGACATTTTCAGTTCGAAAAATAGTTTAAATGTCTCAGGAATATGACTCGACAGCCAACAACATACCGACTTGTGCACGAGTATACGCAGCTGAACAAACCAAAGGGAAAATGCAGGAAGAAAAGAAATTGCAATAAATGAGAAAGACTGCCATCAGAAGAATAATACATTCATATTACTTAAAAAAGAAATATCGAACAAAATAATCTCTGAAATGAACAAGGATCATTTCATTCCAGTTGATTTGTCGGTGGTGGCCTACTAGAATTTCAATGAAAACGGAGTGGAAACTATCAAGCAGATATCAATGCCATTAATGCCGCTTCAAAATGAAATATGAGGGTACTTCGCCGACAAATCACTGGTTTCATATCAAGTAAAAGGGTTTGTAATAAGGCACTTCTAAAATGAGGGAATAAAGGGAATGAATTGTGACAAATTAAGTGCATCGAACGCATGAAAATAGGAGAAATAATGCAGCAACACTTCGGAGCCTCTTATTATTTCTCTGGACTCTACGACTACAGTTCAATTTTCAAATGTACAAATAAAATTGTAGTTGTTAAAGCTAATAATGTTTATTAACATTTATTTATTTATATATTATTCGTACTTTTATTTATTTATTTGATCTTATATCTGCCGATATGTATAAATGTAATCATTATTATTATATTTATTATTTTAATAAATTACCTGTAGTACCGCCACTGTCTCCTTACTTTCATTCACCAAACTCGTCTTTCTATTACATGCAAATTAGTGTGTCTCTAATTTAGGAACGGTTTATCTAAACTTCCGCATATTCCGCATACTAGCAATCGCCATTTCCATTTCTGTCAATTCTTGTCAATATTTGTACGCGTAATTTAATAAGAATGTTACATTGATAGTTTAAGTTAGTTTAATCTTGCACTAAATTCATCTTTGTCGACAAACGGTGTATGGAGGCACTCAGAACTTTTTATTAAGAATAACATTGTTTCATACAACTAAGAATAAACAATTTGATGCCGACACAATTTTTTTGGGATCTGTGAAATTGAAAGGTCATTTAGTCGATCGAATGATTCAGTCTCCAGGAAACGGATATATTGTACGAGCTGTAATACGCGACACTAAAGGAGCATTCAACAATATTCTATCAAAATTGTTTTAGACCAAAACCATCGCGACTTTTATAACAGAGGGCGTCAGATTGAAAGTTATTAGGGGCTGTCCTCAGTATTGTAGACGGTTAGTCGTTATGGCCATATGCCCCCATAAACGATAGTACTACCACCTATGCGATTTTTTTTTTGACTTTTTAGACAAATAAATTTTCCGAAATTTTCTTTAAGTTACAGGTATAACTATTTACTTTAGTGTAGTATGATTTTTAAAATATTGTCCTGTCCTGTATGCTATTTGATTTGTAACCAACTGTTGCCCATAAATTAAAATTATTTTGTTTTTTTTTGCAGATAGTCAACAGTTTAGCGGACAACAATGTAGATTGATTTTCGTGTCGTTTATTTTCTAATGCATTTACCTGTGAATTTAAAACCTCCAAATGTTCCTTCCCAACCTCTTTATATTATCCTGTTTGTTTCTGGCGAGCCTGGCGGCCCTGGAGGGACCTAACGTATGCATCAGGCAAGAAACGTAAGTACCTTTAAAAAAGTTTCATTTCCACACCACTTAGAAACCCCCGATATCCAAGTAAAAATTGGCATTTTAATAAGACAAAAAAATATTGTACCAAATAATAATAATTTTCGAATTAAACCTGAATTTTGCTCTTTCAGAAGTTAAGTTGCTCTAATTTTAGAGTTCTGGTTGTCATCAATAAATTATAACCCATGGTATTATAATTATTGTGGAGCTTATAAAAATTGTTATTAACAATAAAATAATATAACAATCATAACAATAATAAAATATACATAAAATTCGGAAACCTTCTACAGAGGCAAAACCGATCAAATTGAGCAAATAAAAAATAAAACTAAACAAAAAAGAATGAAAAATTAGATATTTAAATAAGGGTAATTTAGTTAGAATAAGTGGATCATTGTTGCAATGACTTGATTTGAAGAAACATGTATTTGCCTTTAATTATTGAAGGCACTACCCAGAAGATAAAACCATACCAAAACATACATCTCCATTTACTTTATTAAGGTAGAGTTGCGTGTATCCGTATATTGTTGAATAGAGAGGTAGTTAATTATTCTGCTGAAGTTTAAAGACTAAGACAAAGACCCAAAGAAGTGTATTATTGCTATAGGCTACGAGAACTAAATAACACGTATTCATTAATATTTAGGAGGCAGTATTGTTACTATGCTACTTAGAATAGAATACTGTTCCTGTTAACAAAATATGAATTACTTATGGACCATGATTAATAGAAATAGGTTGTAGCGTTTCTTCCAGAACTGACAATGATTTATAAAATGTCTAAAACATTTTACATCATTCACCCTGTATTGATTCATACAGGAATTTGTACTGCATTACTTGTTTAACGATATCTATGTAGACTTGAATCTCTGATACACATTTACACACATTTCTGTTGTTTCAGCGATCTGATTAAATTACTAAATCAACAACTTTTTTTTTAACCAAAGACAAATATTAACATCAATATTGATTATAACAGGAACCATGAAGAAGGAAAATATAACAAACAATTAGATAGCATATTATCAAATAAATTTGTTTTTTCTACCAACAATACATACAATTTTGGCGGTTGTCCTTAGTTATAAGGGCTTTTAAGTACTTAGGCTTACTTTGTGGTGTAGCTCTGGTTCGTGGCTAGTCAATCGGCCGCGATTCCAAGACAGCCCGATGTGTCACAATACCAAACTATTAAAGGCATAGGTGGTCTTTTAGATTTGTAGTGATTGAATGGGGGATGCAAAGTTTTTTTTTCTAATGCTATGCATTTTTATGATGTTTTTTTTTATTTTCCTTTGAAAGTTTTTAGTATATTTAGTACATTGAAACTTTGTTTTTTTTTTATTTACTCTTTTTTAGAGTCAGTAAAAATGCAAGGAAGATCTTGAATGTCAATATAGTGTGTTGAAACAACATACTTTTTTCTTCTTTTCTGATGAGTAAATTTCAATATACTAAATTTATGGCTGAAGCAATGTCAATATCTAGTTTATCATTATTCTTGTTTATTTTGTACAGATAGATATACTGAACTATAGATATACAAACCTTTAAAAAAAAACATCAACCAACCGACAAAAAGTTCGTTGCGTCAGCTATTTGATTATAATTAATAAATCCTGTAAATTTCAATAAAAATCGGCTGGAGCGTTTTTATATATCTTAATATTTTGCTGAGCTCAATTGCCCTTGTAACTTGTAACTTTTAAATAGAAAAACGAAATGATAATTTACTAATATTTCATATTACTTGATTTTTTACCCATTTTTCGTTTTTTTGTCATTCTAATAAGAATAATTCATTTTAAATTCATGTAGAGTTTCTACTAACGGACAAATAATCTCCCCCAATAATGTATAAATCAACTATAACGTTTATTTAAGGGTAACTTGTTTAAAGTCGCAAAATTGCTAAGTATCGTTGTGTTCCTTTTTTCGTTAATAGTGTTAAACTGAAAAATAAGCAGATCAAATCACGAACAACGCTAAGTACCAGAGCGTGTTAATAATAATTATTTTCAGTTCCCGTCCATGTAAATATTGCGTGACTCATTCTGAGAGCAGTATCTGAACTTCCGTTTATTTTCTAAGTAAGAAATTATTAATTTTTGTCCAGATTGTGGAGAGCCGCAATCATTACAGATGACACACAGGGTTGTTAATAGGGATAAACCAAATGGTTACAATAGAACTACGTTCCCTATTTAATATTTTTAATCAGATAATGATAATTGACCATAATCTATTATAACGATAATGGTTTTATTTTAATTTTTTTGGTTAGAAGGTTTAGGAAATACGTTTGTTGTTGAATATCACCATTATTCTTAAGTTATCCGTTAAGTTTGGCATTTTTTTTACAAACAAAATGAAATGTGATACTTAGATTGTATTAACAAAAACCCTCTCTCTTAAACGTATCTCCAATACTGTGAAATTCCATCATATAAAGTAGGTTTACCTATTTAGTTCGGTGACTTCAACTTTAACAGCACATATTCTGAAACTTTTGAAGAAAAGATTTGAAGAATATTTTGTTTTTATAAATCATCCAAAGGGTTTATCAAACGCGATGGTAAAATTAAACAACTTAACGGAACTGAAAATATTTCGTCCAAAATGGCAAAGTCACTTACTATTTACAGACTAATTGCTTGATTGTTAATCCAATAAAAGCTTTTTGTTTTTTTTTTCCAAAAAATTAGATTCACAATGCATATTCAACAAAAGATACTGTGCTTGTGGTGTGAGTTGTACTTGTTTTACCTAAATAATTTCAAAATATCAAAATAACTGCATTTATTTAATTTACTAGGCAAATCCTGCAATAATATTAATAATAACACTATAACAAATGCGTTTTTAGTAGATATTCTTACCGTGGACTTAATATACAGCAGATTTATGTTGAAACTTCTATAAATATTTCTTCCGTAGTGAATAATTAAAATGTAAATGTAACCCCTATGCAGATATTGATATGTCTAACTTGTAATAAATCCTGTAGATGGAATTTAAATTATAATGACACACCCTGTATATTTTCATGTTGAAGAAACCATCAACATTCGTAATTCTTTATTCCCCCCTTTAAATAATAAGTTGAAAATATTAATGAATTTTGGTTGTTATTCGGTTATGTTTACTGAAAGGCCGCTGCTCTAGTACCGTACAGGAAACAGGGTCTTCTCCAAACAGGTCTGGTAGCTTAGAAACGGCCTTAATAACGGCATTCAACGTAACGTGGGCGCTTAAGTAGCGTGTTGATACCGTGTTCACCAGCATGTGGTTTATATCAATATGTAATCTTTTTTTTTATTTAATTTGTGTCGCTACTTTTACTTTACCCATTTAGTGGTGCAATTTATGCAACCATTTTATATAAACGGCACGTTATGCTTGTGCGTTTTTGCTTTAATTGTAAGCAATAATTACCGCTTAGCGATATTTGTTATTAGAGGTTTAAATCGCGAGTGCAACCAACATATTTAGTGGCTTTTACTTTTAGCATACGATTGACAAATAACGGATTAATATATTTATTTAATTTTTCTGTTGCAAAAAAAGAACCGTAATTTTTAATTAAATATTGTTTAATGTTCTTTTAATTTGCAAATATTACGCCGTTTAACCTACGTGACGTTTCGAAACAAATTTAGTTTCCTCGAATTTTAAATATGACGGAAGTGTTAATTTTAATTTCTAAAAGAGTAAGAAATCAGAACGAAAACAATTTTTACGCAGAATCTAAAGCGAAATATTGCAGTGCTGTTGTTAAAACGATATGTATGCTCAAATTATGCCCACCTTTTAGAGGCTAGTAAGAAAAAAATAGCTGATGAAAAATCTTACTAACTTATTAGGATACTACCAATTTTTTCCGACTTCTCCAATAGGATCCAAATTTTACATCTCGCAAAATAGGGAAAGACCAGAGCAGAAAATCATCGAAATTTTCCATGACAATGTCGAAAATGTTATGTAAATTACAACGAATAATGTAGCTCTAATAAGTAGTGTGTGATCAAATATACACACATATACATATTAATAAAATTATCAAATAAATACAAAAGTTGTAAAATAAAGAAATGTCAATTTTTAGTTTTTTTCCCTAAAACTTGAGAAAAAGTTTTTCTTTCAAATACTTAGGCATTTTCTTTAATGATTGCGTTACTGTATAAAAAATTTGGTAGGTATATTGTACTGTGATATTTTACAGAGGTATTGGTTAACGAAATGCTATGGATAATGTTATTTAGAGTTATTAATTAATCACGAGTAATTGTTGTTACTGTGAGTGGGTAATTGATTTTTTAAAATAATGGAATCGACTTTGTTGTAAACTCCAAGGCCGGATTATTCAAAGCCGTGCTTGCCTGACACGAGGATTTAATAAAAGCAATTTTTAATCAGGTGTTGTTTCATGAATGGAAATGTGACTTGGAATTTAATGACTGTTTTCTACATTGTTTTTACATTAGTTTTTTACATTCATGCCAATATTTACGAAATATTGAAATTTTGACAAGTCTAGGAAAAATAGATAACTTTTGTGTTAAACCATGATGGTTTGCTTGCTACATTTAGTCTCATTTCGATAGTATTGACCAATAATTAAAATCATATATTCTATTCCTGACATACAGGGTGTTTCAAGAAATATAGGCCAATGCTCGGCTGCAGATCCAGAAAAGGAAACGAAATAACCCTAGGTGCGAAAATACTTACTTCCGAAGATGAAGAATGTCAACTAATTTTTGATAATGTTTGTTTATTCCTTAAAAGTTGGCGAACTAACTAATTGTTACCCGATTTTGTTGAAATTTGCCAACATCCTTTATAATGATAAAGGGCTAATTTTGTTTCAACTTGATTAAAATTCTGAAACCCGTTGCAAGAGGTATCCTATTTACTTTTTTGACTGTCAAGCCAAAAAAAAAAAGTCAAGGATTTTTTTTTATGAAAATATAAAAAAATAATACTAAAGAATTTGATGAATATGACCATCAGCTTTATTGCAGACATGTAGCAGATTATGACGTAAGGGTTATCGCACAAGCCTTTTTTTGAAATTTTGAATACTTTGTACTTTGGAAACTAAACATTTCAGGACCTACGGTTGATGCATGTTTTTGTCAAAATAACCAATATTTTATCACCAGTGATTATTTTTTCTGATTTTAAGAATACCCTCACACATATACTGAATACAATAAAGTGCAAAAAAAACAGGAAGATGTAGTTCATAAATTGTTAAATTCGTGCCCATTAAATTTGTTGATGGTCCCAGTTCTTTCTTTTTTTTTGCAAGAATGTTTAATTTGGTACCAGCAAAACGTTTTTTCGACAGATTTACAGTAACTGTAAGAGTATCCGAGGAGCAGCCATATCAGGTCAGAGAGTTCGTATGGTGTTTGAATTTCCCTCCCAGATGTTCAAAGTACAAAATAAAATTCAGGACCGTCTACAAGACTCAGAACTTGGTCAAAACGCGACCGGTAGAAGACTGCTGCAAAGGTTATACGAAAAACGTAGCTGAAAATAAGTGCATTCCTGTTTGTTCCGAAGACTGTTTGCACGGTATTTGCGTAGCACCTGAGACATGTAAATGTGAAACCGGATATGGTGGACCAAACTGTGATATATGTAGGTCACCCGATGGACCCTTGTGCAAAGGTGCTATAAATTATTGTGTTGTTTTTAGCTTGCCCTCAGAGTTTGTGGGGACGCGAATGCCAAAACCAATGCAAATGCGAAAATAACTCGACATGCGATCCGTTTAACGGCGGTTGCGATTGTTCGAGAGGATGGGAGGGCGTTTATTGCCAAAACAAATGCCATGAGGGCACCTACGGCCAGGATTGCTTCGAAAAGTGCAGATGCGAAAATGGAGACTGCGATCATGTATCCGGAGAGTGTAGATGTCACTCGGGCTATATGGGACCATTGTAAGAATAAATGGGTACCCTTCGTTGGAACATCCTTTCAAGGTAATTTCTTTGTAGATGCGACGAGCAATGTCCCATTGGCACGCATGGTGATAACTGCAAATCTGAATGTCGCTGCCAGAACGGCGGCACATGCGACCCTGAGACCGGAGAATGCTTCTGCAAGGACGGCTGGACCGGGCTTGTTTGCGCCAATAGGTGCCCGTTTGGTTTTTGGGGTTCTAATTGCTCAAAGCCCTGCGATTGCTATAACGGTGCTTCTTGCAATCATATACATGGAACCTGCGAGTGTCAACCGGGATTCACCGGGGACAGGGTATTTATTTATTTATTTATTATATATTTAGGAGTTAACAAAATAAAGCATTTAAAAATGATAAATCAGACAAGTAGACGTAACAAACAGAAGTGCACAACTAAAGACAAAGGTTAGTAACAGAAAAAAATGTGAAAAACACATAGAACTGATTGTTTAACATTAAACTGAGGACTATTGTGAATTTACGAACACACGGATGTATTATACTAAAATAACTTTATTAATAATGAATACACTGATTTTAAATTAACACTCTCTCTCATATTAGGTTAGGTTCTGGTCAACAACGTTTCCTCTTCTCCTTTTACAGTGGATAAATGACAAGTAATCACAACACTCCTCCTCGATTTGAAGTTTTGAATGAATGAAAATTGTGATTACAAGAATAAACATTTGCAGTGTTATACAATATTACACTTATCTCTAAGTTTTACAAATAAATCCTTGCTTAAAGGTTTTGTTAACATGTCTGCTTAATTTTCCTCAGTTGGTACATATTCAACAGATATTTCCTTGTGTAATACTAAATCTTTTAAATAATGATTCTTTATATCTATGTGTTTAGCCCTTTTTGAATTCTCATCACTTTTTGACATTAATATTGAACTTCTGTTATCACAAAAAAGCAGTGTGGGAATATTAAGCTTAAAATCATTTAACACATCCCTGTTTCTTTGAAAACCAGCATACAGGGTTGTTACCAAGTAAAATTAAGCAACCACTTACACTCTTCCGATCATGTTTATCTGTAGCCCAATCTGAATCTGAAAAAGCTTTTAATTTTACTTTGTCATTACTTGATTCATTTTTCACAAAAGTTAATCCTTTAAATTTGGTAGTATTTAAATAACAATATTCTTTTTCCTGCATTCCAAGTATCATTTGTTGGCTTGTCCAGAAATCTACTTACATATGAAACAGAAAAGTACATCAGTCCTCTGATCAATTGCCTGTAAGGAATAAATTTTGTTTGCTTTATTTCTAGTTTACCTTGATCTTCCTTTCTATTTATTGTCATCCCTAAGAAATTCTTGACTTCTCCCATATCTTTTGCTTGAAAATGTTTCTTTAGTAAAAATACTGTTTCTTCATTGTTTTCATTCTTTCGCACTACTAACATGTCGTCTACATATAATAATATCCAGTTATTTTTACCACAGTACAAGCAGCAATCATGTCTTGATCTCTGAAAATTGTTTTCAACAGCAAAATTATTAAAAGTTTCATTCCAAACTTTTGGAGACTCTTTGAGACCATATAGAGCTCGATTTAATCTTAAAACTGTTGATTTTGCCTTTGCATCCCTTATTTTAAAATCTGTCTTCTCTTTTTCTGCACCAAAATTTGATACTTCTTTCTCCAACGTATCTTCAATCTGTTTCTCCTCTAGAAATGCTTTAACTCTTAACCTCCAGTTATTATAATTCTGTGCATTTAATTGTGGAAATACCACCGACGACGTATTCATTTTGCCGTTACAAGTTTAATACACGTGTTCAAAAAAAATTTTTTTCAAATTTTCTCTATCTACCATCCGCCAGCCAACGTCTTGCGTGGTTCTGGGCCCATAACCTAATGTGAATTTACGAACACACGGATGTATTAAACTAGAATAACTTTATTAATAATGAATACACTGATTTTAAATTAACACTCTCTCATGTTAGGTTAGGTTCTGTTCAACATTTCCTCTTCTCCTTTTACAGTGGATAAATGACAAGTAATCACAACAAAGACTGATAGTGTCAACCATATAGCTACTAGACATATAGAGGCCCTGCTAATAGTAAACGAACTCGCGAAGCAACTATGTAACAAAATTTTGAGGTCTGTTCAATATGCGCATGCGAGAGATTTGAAATTTCGTTTTAACCACTGACAGCTCTAATTGTGGGATTTTCTGAGTACTCATATAGACAGAATGCTCATTCTTTCTTCGCAAGTCTAGTAATTGCAGAAAGTGCCGCCTCCCAAACATATAATTATTAAAACTACCAAAAGTAGTATAAAACAAGTCAATAAACAATTAGCCTTAAATGTAACAGAATTAACATTACCAAACCCTAAAAAGTGTAGTTTATTGTCTCAAAATTTAAAAAACATTTTGCTAGCAAAAATTGCATGGCGACTACCGCAAAAAATTCCACGTTACAAATATTTAACAGCAATTGTTAAATGCTGAAAATACATGTAGAAATTGCATTGTGTCTATCGGGCTTTAGATACTAGTATTAATTCATATCAATGTAAATGACCAAAACTTACTTAAACAAGATTTATGCTTATGCCACAACTACAACCTACCTTTAATTATAATAGCATTTTATATAGTGTTTTATTAACTCGTTTTGGTTAGTACAAATAAATAAATGAATTATTTGATAAGGCCTTTATTGAAGAGAATAAAATATATTGTTGCTTATAAGAACAATAAGAAATTACATAAAGATATATGCTGCATTTTTTAATAGCATAATAATATTTATTTTTTATTTTTCAAGGAACTTTTATATTACTTGATTTGAGAGGATCGCAACCTTTAAGAATTGCAAACAAGAAGATGAAACCAATAAAAAAAAATGTTCATTTATAATACAATAAAATATTGTTAATTATTAATAGAATAACTACAACAAAAATTTCATTAACTGTAAATTCGAAAGAAAAGTTAAATTGGAAGCACTTGATGACAATATGTTACTGTGCCTTAAGTTATTTTTAAAAACTGATGACTGCTGGTTATTCTGTGCCAGGTTTCTCTATGACTTGTTATGTTGTTTTGACTGCCACTGAAGATTAAAGATCTGCTGGTGTCTGCTCTAGTTCTACCTAGGAAAAAAATTATTATTTTGACTTGTTGGAAATAAAGCTTAAAAACGCACGTCTATTAACAAATATTTCTCTTATGTTCAAAAAATAACAATATTTTAGACTGAAAAAAAGTTGGTAACGTTATCAACAAAATATTTTTGAGGAATGTGAAATTATTTGATAAATTTTATCAGTCTGGTTAGAAAAAAAAAGGTACTATTTGACACTTTAAATATGGGCTCTTAAGTACCATCGGCAAATAGAATGACCAGAAAACAAGTAACTCGATTTACAACTGATCACAATATCTACCTAAAAGACACTGCACTGCCTACTTTATCAAGACTTTACTACCTCTTTTATAGCTTAATGTGACCCCCAGATATGGATAATCTTCTAAAGCTATCAGCATCCCTGGCAGCTCCATTTTTGACAAGCAATGTTATCCATTATTTAATTACAATTTCATCTTTTGGTAAACTAAAAAGTAAAATGTAAATTGAATGACACTACCTGGATAAGTGATTATTATATTAGCACATTCTTTTCCTTACAGTTTTGACCACAAACAACAAGTTTTTCACAAAAACACGAAATAAGAACCGAGAGAATCATAATCACCAAAAATGTAAACAATATCACAGACTGTTAGTATTCTCTGGCAATAGCAATTCCTAGCTCGGCGTTGCCAATTAAATTCGAATTTCAGAGACTGATTTTGCTTTCTTATGCAAATTAGTCAATTTTTTCAGAAAAATTACTTTTTACCGTGGTAGAGCCACTATATTATCTCATAGCTATATGGTGTCAACAAATGGATCGATATCACGTGCGTTAAATAATCTGATCATTCTGACGCAAGGACTTGTTATGGAAAACAAAGAAAAATACCGGGTTGTTCTAACCGTATTAAAATCAACATTTTGTAATATTGCGGAACATTAAAGAAACTACGTTTCTTCGGTGAGACCTCCTTCAGTATATCAATTTTATATTATATTATATATTCGTTGCCAGAGTACATAAGGGAATGTTATAGAGTTACAAAACCAGTGGGAGATAGATCATTAGTATTTCTAATAACAAATCCCTTTGTTACAAAATTAGTAATATGATTCCTAAATGTCATTCGTGCATCAAATAAAACACTCAAGCCCTTGACTACAGAGGCCGGACTCCAGTGGACCACACTATTGAAACACTTTTTAATTATAGAGTTGCAATCCATTTGTTTGCAAATACAGATTTATATTGTAAAGTCCAGTCAGAGCAATTATGCATGACATCTTTAACTAGTTGCATTACTGGATGTCATAAATTGACAGGAATTTATTAGTTTTGAAATCCGCGTCAAAAGTCGCGGCGCGGTCAAAATTTTAAAATTTAACTGCTAATTAAATCGTTTCAAAATGCTCCAACAATTTGGTGAAAAAGACCAAGACCTTATTTAAACTTGTGGATTATTTTATTCAAGAAAAAAATGCGGGGAAACCGCTTTTAGCCTTAAACGCTGTACATAATGTAAGTATTTCCTGTCTCCCTACTTGAAAGCATCTCATTTTTATGAACGAGTAATTTAAGTTTCTGAAAATTATTAATTAGGTGGGTGCTTGTTATGTCTTACTGTATCGTGTTGCGGTTGACCAATGAATAAGCTTGTTTCTGGAGACATCAAAACCAATCATGAACATGAAGTTAACCCATCTAACCTATCAAATTGATATTTGTTTTCTCGCATATATTTGATGCGTTTTATTTTGTCGGTTCGTATAAATACGCCGCTGAACCAATTTGTCATAATCTTATTATAACAAAGTAATATGTACCTAAGCACATGGCCTTTTTTGCGAATGACCGTTTTATGACCGTATTCCTAGTAGGTTCTACCATTTATAACACGTTCACTAACGCCCACGTTGCAAAAACCCTTACAAAAGAGAATTTTAATTTACTTTTTTGAATTTCGTATCCGAAGGTACCTACTTTAGATCAATGAATTTTTTCCATTACCCACCGATCTAGAGTGCGGGAAGTGTCACTTTACCACGTCAGTTTCGTTTCCCATGAATGCGAGCAACTTCGAACGATTCCGCAATTTTACCGCACGGATTTGGGAGCAATCGGATGTTTTCGGAGACATTTCCCACGCTTTGAATTTTGACATTTGTCAATTCTGACAGTCATGTCAGTGAATGTATTCATGTTGTTTTGCGAAAATATAACCAAAAACTAACGGTCATAGAAAAAGTATAGTATGTAACACGTTCGTTAAATTTATAACTCACTCGTTTATTAAACACTCGCTCCCCTCGTGTCAAATAAACTCGTGAGTCAAATGCCGTTTACCGCACTTGTTGCATACTATACTATAATAGACCATAAGAATAATTACATTTTAATTTACTAATCCTTTCCAACTTATATGGATGTTGTGTCAGTTTTTGTCAATTTTTATCAACATGAAACTGAGGTATAGTTTGCATATCATGCCTAGATAGGTCGAAAAAAACTTGTTGCCAATTAAGTTAACAATGTCACATCCACTGTCACAAAATCAATCTGCAAAAATGTTGTATTGTTGTTGTATTGTATTATGTCAACATGCCTCCAAAAATCTTTAAAACTTTCTTCTAACTGGCTACTAGCCTTCTTTAAATCATTATTATAACATTCAGTCTGAATTGTAGAATAAGACTAACTGGTGTACTGTTTCCGGAGTTTTTATATCATTTTATTTTAGTGTTTGGACGTTTGTCCTGATGGCAAATATGGCCTAAATTGCACAAAAAATTGCAATTGTTATAATGGCGCGAAATGTTCCAATAAAGACGGGGCGTGTATCTGTGCGAAAGGATGGACCGGGCAATTGTGTAACAAGAGAGCATGTCCTGAGGGTCTGTGGGGACTGAAATGTCAAAAATCGTGTCAGTGCAATCCGTCGAACACAGAAATGTAAGTTTCGTGAATTTGATATTAACTCGGCTCATTCGAACTTTACCGTAGGTGTCATCCTTGGACGGGCGAGTGTGATTGTAAGCCGGGCTGGAACAGCAAAGACTGCTCGAGACCTTGTCCAATATTAACATACGGAAAAGGGTGTCACGGTTTGTGCAAGTGTAAAAATAATGCCCAATGCTCTCCTTTAAATGGCAGCTGCATCTGTGCTCCCGGATTCACGGGAAATGATTGCGGTCAGACATGTCCGGAAGGAAGCTTTGGTGAAGATTGTGCTCAAAATTGTCATTGCAAAAATGGAGCTGCATGCTCGTCTGAAACAGGGCAGTGTCAATGTCCTCCCGGTTGGGAAGGTCAGCTTTGCGATAGACCCTGCAGCAACAACTCTTATGGCACGCTATGCAATCAGAAATGCGTCTGTAAGAATGGTGCTTCTTGCAACCCTGTTAACGGTAAGCTTGGACGATTTCGTTTATTAGTAAAATTACTAAAAGATAACATATTTTGCATTTTTCATTTTAAGTGTTGTTGGTATTATCCATTAATTGCATGGATGTTATGATTTTTTTCTGCATGTTTGTGCTCTGTAGGAACTTGTACATGTGGAGCGGGCTTTACTGGCGAATTTTGCGAAAATAAATGCCCGCCAGGGTACTTTGGTGTTAATTGCGAACAAGTTTGTCAATGTCAAGACAGTAACAACGTTGGATGTGATGCAGTAACCGGAAAATGTATTTGTAAGCCCGAATGGAAAGGTAGGTAATATCATGTGAGAACTAATACACAAACAGCACATATCTCTTGTGGGACGAGTATTTGCAGTTAAATTGAGAAAGTTGTTAATTATTTTTGGTTGATGTACAGAAACCCAAATCATTAATTATTTATGTATAAGTGCAAAGTTATTAATTTCTAAGTGAAATTGGTTATATTTAATTCATTAGAAACTGATTTGGTTGTATATGTGGAACCAATAACTAATGTAACAGAACAGTTAAAATGAATCACAAAACTTACATTGATACGTTTATAAAGGTGTTATATGGCAAACGTTTAAACGCAATCAAGAGTTAAAAAAAAATCCATCCATCCGCTAAAATAAGTGTTATTAATTCACTGCATCCTGCAAATAGGTGATTTTTTTTGCAAAAGTAGTTTTATTATAGGTATTAGATCTAATGTTTTAGATTAAACAAAAACTTCTCGACCAGTGTTTGTTTCAATTATTTTAATAGAATTAATTTTATCAGCTAATCATTCGGATCATAATGATAATATTTGAATATTTAAAAATTTTGGCCTATAATGGATAATTGATGCTTCCAAATTAATGCTAATTTGTGTATGATGGGAGAACTCAATTATCTGACAAAATTAGATATTTAGATACCTCAATACCGTTTGGTAATGTAATGCTTCTCAATTAGAAACTAATTTAGAACTGAAAAACAATTGAAGTTATATATATATATATATATATATATATATATATATATATATATATATATATATATATATATATATATATATATGTATATATATGTGTATATATATATATATATATATATATATATATATATATATATATATATATATATATATATATATATATATATATATATATATATATATATATATATATATATATATATATATATATATATATATATATATATATATATATATATATATATATATATATATATATATATATATATATATATATATTATATATATATATATATATATATATTATATATAT